GGGGGGAGGAGGGAATGGGCATATGCACAAACAATGAGTGCGATGCGCACCTCCGGGGGAATGGACACACTTGAAGCCCGGACTTGGGGGGGAGGGAGGGTAAGGCATCATACGTAACCTAATCATCTGTACCCCCATAATATGCTGAAATAAAAATTAAAAAAAAAAACACAAAATGTAACCCCAGGCTTACTTTTATGGGCTGTGGTTCAAATGTCAATTTAGTTTATAAATCTCTGCAGTGTTTTTCTGTTTCCCCTATTGTTGTATTACCTAGATAACAGAACTTCATTCTGTCTTCTTAGCATGGGTTTGGATGGGGAGGAATACTGCCTCATTTCAGCAGGGCGAGAATGGAAGACAGGACAGTGTACCACAAGATCTGTTAGAGAGAGGTACTGCCTCATCAGTGTGGGTGAGGTGGGTGGAAGTCAGAGTTCTGCCCACAGGCTTAGCTGGGAAGAGCACTACAAGGACGGTGGAAGTCAGGAGTTCCAACCACAGGTTCCTCCATGGATGGTTGCCTCTTCCTTACTGAAGAGCAAGCATGAAAGTGAAAGCCAGAGTCCCACCCATAGACCCTGCTGAGAAGAGGCACCTCCTTATAACTGCTGGTGGGTGGAAGTCAGAGTTCTGCCTACAGGCTCCATTGGAGGGGGATATCTCCTTATTATTGCAGGTAGGGAGAGAGATGTATGTATAAAACAGAGCTTTGGTTGTAGATTCCACTACTGAAAGCCTGTTAGGGTGGAAAAAGGGTAAAGCTTTTATTGTGGTGTTCTTTTAGAGAATAGTAAAGTGTGGTTAAAAGGTTTCTGTCTTGGTGAGGCATCCTTTGGCTAGGGAGAATAGGCTTTCCTTGGCATTATTTTTTCCCTACCACTGGCAGTTCCAAGTTAACAGCTCCTCTAAAGACCAGGTAAAGACATATGGATGGCAAGAGGAAAAAAAAAAACAATAACCAGGGAACCCCCTCAGTTCATAAGCCCCCAAATCCCTAGCCAGTCTACTCTCTTTTCCCTAACTTTCAGAGTTTTCCAGTGGGTAAATTATGTGTTTTGTCCAGGGCTTTTTGTTGTGAAAAATGGGAGAAGTAGTAAAATGGAAAATGTTTATTCCATCTTGTCCAGAACCCAAATCCTGTCACTTAATTTTTTGTGTAGATATTATAATTATTTGTACATGCTATCACCCTATATTCTGTAAGTTTTCTGAAAACTTTATTACTCTTTTTTCTTTACTGGGTTTTCATTACATTCTCTATTAATTGTTGGCCCAGAAAACTGTCATATATGACATATCCTTTAAGTTTAGTAGCTAGAAAAAACTGTTAATACAATTTCTTGCCCTTTACTCACCACTGGGTTGACAAAAGATAAAAGCTAAGTAACTCTCAAGTTCATTCATTCAGTAGACAACTTTTTTATGAAAGCGTCTGGGGACAAAGCAATGAGTAAGATAGCTAAGATCCCTGGTGCTACTGAATTTACATTCTAGTGACTAGAGCAGAGAAACTACAGACAAATGAATAATGTGTTCTCTTAAGAAGTTGGAAAAACTCAAGTCTACTATGTTTCAATTAATATTAAGAACAAACATTTGAAAAACTGTAGGATTGGCATAGGTTAGATAATTTTTTTCACTTAGTATAATGAAATTTTAATGATCCAGTAAACTAGTGTTCAACTACTTACCACATATAGTTGTTTCCACAGACTGGCCCATTCCTGTAGAGTTGCTGTGACCTCAGTCACTACAGAATCTTCAAGTGGAACCACAGTTTCATACTGCCTAGAACCAGAGCCACAAAAGACAGCCACATTATCTTTGATAAAATCTCAGAATGCTGATCAACACTAGGTTGATCACATGGCAGAAATACTCTCTAGGGATTAGGGGGATCGGGGGGCAAATCCACAACTAAAGGACATGGGGAGCACTAAAGGGAGGGAAGGACATGCCTTTAACCTGCACTTGGGTGAGGCAAAGACATAAAGTGCAACTATAATGTTTGTACCCTCACAATACCCTGGAATAATAATAATAAAAAAAAAAGAGTGCAATTCGCACCACCCGAAGGATGGACATATTTGAAACTCGGACTTTGGGGGGTAGGGGGGTAAGGGCAACATATGTAACCTAAACATCTATACCCCCATAATATGCTGAAATAAAAAAAAAATATCTCAGAATGCTGTCTGTTGCCTTTTTAATGTGTTTAACTCAACTTTTAAATTCCTGGACATATAAAAGAAAGTAAATCTAACTGATCAAAGATCCTTTTGCAGTGAAATACTACAGTAGTGTAATTGAGCTGAATTAAGGTAAAAACATTTGGGTTTTACTATATAAGCCCTCAATTTTATATTTATAAATACTGTCTTTAAGACACACTTTTTTTTAAAGGAGTCTGGCTTTTTTACTCAAAGAAAAAACCATGACACCGCAGAAGTCTTGCTTAATTTTTATAATATTTGTATCCTTTAACATTTTTCTGTACTGCAAATTAGCACATATCCTTTGGTAAAAAGATCTGGAAAAGCTGGGGGAGAGCGGAAGGAAGAGAACCCAGAAAACGGGTTTTGTAAAGTTTTACAAGTACTCACTTATGTTGGTATTACATTTTCTTAGAAATTAGTGTCAGTATAGGAATTCTAGGTCTGGTAGGGGAATTCTGAATATGGTAACAGAAAGATGCTTGCATTCTCTCAGCCTACCTCATAGGCAGCATCTACTATGTTGCCAGTCTCTGTGCTAACTGCCAAAAATTTATCAGTGAAATAAATGGATACAGTTCGTATCTTCAGAAAGCTCTTGGTGCAGATAGGGAATCAGTCAGACAAATAATCACAACAAACAGATATGGACAGTGATAAATCTAAAAAGGAAATGAAAAGGTACAATGAAAGATTTCAACAGGGGTACCCAATTTAAGATGAGAAGATCAATGAATTCTTCTCTGAAGAAGTGGCAAGGCCTAACACATGCAAAAAAAAAAAGTCATGACATGAAAAGTATATGCGGAGTGAGAGGACCAGGTATGTTGTCACCTGCAAAGAAGAAAGGTATATAAGAAGTCATTGAGTTGGAAAATAATTTCACATATCAAAGATAAAAAGAGCTAGTATGGCTGGGGCACTTCTCACAAGACCCCAAAAGACAGCAAAAATTCCAGATCTAAACCACAAGTGACATGAATAAAAAGTTATTGAAAAGTTGTTGAAAGCAGAGGGCATGATTCCTAATATTTCTGTGATGTCTACACGAATTTAGAGGGGTAAGGAAATGTTTTCTGGTACTAAAAATTTTATATGCTGACATACTGATGTAACTTGAACCCAATTTGTTAACCAATGAGAATGTCATCTACTTGGAAATAGTACAGGAAAATGAATTCCACAAAATTAGAAGTAAGCATTGTTTCTTTCTACAAGAGAAGACAGCTGACAAAGCATCACTGTGTTCTAAGATGACTCAGTGCATTAACTCTGAGCATCAATGAATACATACATTATTTGAGCATATTTTAAAGTTTTACTGTTTTATTTTGTGTAACTTACTCCAGCAAATAAAATCACCTTGGAATAATGCCACAGCACTATCCATATCCATCAAACTTACACACTCGTTAAAATAAAATCTTTCATCAAGGGCTTGTTAAAAATAAAATGTCACAAACATAATACTAGCAGGGTGGCAAAATCGGTGCTTTCTATTGCCATCTGCCCCCAAAAGCATCAATTTGACAACAACTGCTGGATGAGAGTACCTTTGTGGAAGTCTAGGAGTCCAGCAGAGAAATTTCAGCAAACCATTGGAGCAAAAAATCCAGTATAGAAGCACTGAAGAGGGTAAGAACAAAGTTTCACTGTACCTGAATCACCCATCCCCCAAGGCAGCACAGCTCAGTACCAAGAGAAACTCCCTCAGCCTGCAATTTCTGCCACAGTGGAAAACGAAAGCACAGTGAGTGCCTAGCTCCACCAGCCATGTGAGACACTGCCCAAGAGGCCCACTTCTCTCACCTCGCCCAGAATATTGAGATGATCTGCATGGGTGAATGTCTGGAGAGGTTACGAGCAGAGAAATAAGCATGGTTTAGTTTATTTTAATTTTTTGAAAGAAGTAATACTGATCTCTAAAGTCTATTTTATACGTGTTGAGTATCACATGTAATTTATTGACCACCGTACTGAGAATGAAAACCAGAATGGTTGAGAGACCCAAGATGGCCAACTAGAGACACAACTTGTCAAACCATCCTGGCAGAAGAGTAGAGGGTTCGAATGAGGAGAGCGGAGAACAATTATTGCTTAGATGCGGACCACAGGAGGAGATAGCAGAGGAGTCAGGGGACCCCACCAACAAGAGCTGCGAAGCAGAGAAAGAGGAGGACAGAAAAGAGAGATCAGCAGTGCGAACCAAATCCAGGGACACCTGGAGCCCAGGGAAAAAGGTAAGGAGAGGCTCCCCTCCCCTACCCCTCCCCTGCCTCAGGCCATCAGCGGGACACAGGGCTCTTATCCACAGGGGTGTGCCATGAGGGAACAGAGAGCTGTCATTCCTGCATCTATCTGGACACCTCCTCCTCCTCCGTACTGCCTCCATTCCTGGTATCCCAGAAATAATTTTGGCTCAAGCCGGTCTGTAGCCACAGCCCCTCCCTCTCCATAGCAACCACTAAAGCGCTCTACACTCACAGAGACTTCTCTCCCCACAAGGGGGCACATTCCCAGCTGAACCCTCCTTGCAGAGGGTAGCTGCAGTGGGGGCGGCTTGGAACAGGTGGACAGACCCAGTGCCTCCAGACATGACAGTGATGCAGGGAGGTCACATCCCCTCCCCCAACTATAGCTGTCACTAGAGTTCTCTGTGCTGAGAGGTCTGCTTTTCAGTGACAGGGGAACATTCCTGCCCTAGTCGGCCGGACACCCACAGTTTGAGATATTCCTCCCCACAGGAATTTGGCTTGTTCATCTGCTGGTGGCTCAGACAGGTGGGCTGAACCTGGTGCCCCACCCCTCATGAGAGCTGGGCAGGGACATGTCATGGTTCCACGCTTGGGTGGCGAGAGAGCGCTCCCGGCCATACCAAATGGGAGAGTGTGGAGGAGCACAGAGGAGTTGAGGGCTGCCAGTGTTCCCCATCCCCCAACCCCTACTGGAGAATCGCTATACTAGAGAAGGCGGCAGCACTGTGACTCCATTAGCATAGTCTCTGGTTCCTGTGGCAACCAAATACCTCAGGCACAGGATGAACAGGTGCAATAGCAGCCGCCACCCCTACCACTCACTTCAACAGAGAATGCAGCTTCATCCAAGAGACGCGTCAGCTGACACTACTCCCCCGGTGGGTGTCTGCCCCTGGTGGAGACCTCTGCGGGTAGAGAGCCCCACCTTACTCATCTTGGGGTCTAGTGGCAGAAAAGAGGTGCACAACTGGAAATCCCCATACCCACCAGCAACACACAGAGATGCACACCAGCGAATCAGACACACAAACTGTGGGGTAACTCGAGAGCCAGTCTTGGGCGGAGAGGGAACACACATGGACTGATCAGAGGGGGAGTGTTGTAGAGTTCCAGGGAACAAATAGGGAGGGTGCATGCCCCACCCCACAGAGAAACCTGGCTAGTGGACAAGGACAGAAAAAGCCTAGCTAAGGGCCTTAGTAATCACACAATTAGGCCCCTCCCAGGGGCAGCTCTCTGTGCTTGGAGAGATACTCCTGAACTCCATATCAGCAGCTCCCCCTAGCGGCCAGATAAGCAACCTCTGTGCCCTGCTGAATCTTAGCAAAGTCCCTCACTCAGGCTCTCGCTTTCCAGCCATGATCTATCTTGTTCCTCAACCCATCTCAGAGGGAGTGGGGACCAAGCAACCCCCAGGAGCTACAGGGCCCCTCCTAAAGCTTGGGGCATTAGTATACCCCACCTGTAGGACCAGAGCCTATGAGGGGCACAAAAGTTACCTCAGGAACTGGCTCCTCCACACAAACTATAATCAATAACAGTAGGAAAAACCCCCATTACTAAACACAGTGCCTTCCAACTCAAGCAATTAGGGAGCAGCGGATTCGTATCGACAACTATAATCCAACAGCTAGGAGGTTAAGCTGGGGACCAAACTCAGTACATTCCACCACAGAGAGGTGAAGACAAGAGGTGAGAGGTAACCCGAGAGAATCATCAAACCTGCTAAAACACCCCAGAGGCAACTCAGGACCAGCACTCCTCTCCCCAGCATGGTCAGGGATCAATCTTTGGGGAATCGGAGACAGGGCCATAAGCCAGCCCTAACACCCCCAGCTCTACATCAAGAGGCCAGATGTAAAGGAATCAGCAAAAGAACTCCAGAAACATGAAAAATCAGAGCAAAAAGGCACCCTCCAAAAGAAATCAATACCTCCTCACTGCTGGAAACCAACCTAAATGAAATGGTTAAAAGGACAGATGAAGAATTTTGAATTTGGATTGTAAGAAAGCTCATTGACATACAAGAGAAAATAGAAACCCAACACAAAGAAATCATAAAAACAATGCGGGAAAAAAATGAAAAATTCTCTAAAGAAATTGAAGTATTAAAAACAAAACAGAAATTCTGTTGAGCACAGAATTTAATTAGTACAACCCCTGTGGAAAGTAATTTGGAGATACCTCAAAGAGCTAAAAATAGAAATACCATTTGATCCAGCAATCCCACTACTAGGCATCTATCCAAAGGAAAAAAAGACATTCTGTAATAAAGACATCTGCACTCAAATGTTTATAGCAGCACAATTTACAATTGCAA